GACACGACCACAAAGCATTTTTGGCTACCTTTGAATGGGTCGCTATAGCCGCTTCTTGCCCCCAGGAACACTGGGCTATCATATTAACCTCTTACCTTACAGGACCCGCACAGACAGTATATCGCAATGGACTTCAGAGAGGCAATGGAGTATCCATGAGTGAAAGCAGCCATATTAGACAGTACCAATATCAGCCCAGAGACCTTCTGGCAGAGGCTGTTTGAGGAAGGGTACCCCGCTGGGATATGGCCATGAGCTTTCGCCCAAAGGATCAGGGAACGCTGCTAGAAGTGGCTGAACCCAGAGGGCTTAACCGGACCCCAAGTCACAAAGATACTAGCCCTGGAACAGTTCATAGAGGCACTCCCCATACGACCCAAGGAGTGGATGCAGCGACTTCGGTCAGCCACACCGATGGCTGCGGTAAGCTTGATGCAGGATTACCTAGCAACAGAAGAAACTAGAGCCTGAACTCGATGGGCAGAGAGCCCAAGGAAACGAGAGGGTCCAGGGTGAGGGAAACCACAGAAGACAGAACCGTTGGGGTTTCCACGCACCTATTATACCCAGCAGGCCGAGACTCACAGGAAAGAACGCCAAAGAGCGGACACACACAATTCCACCAGAAAAGAAAGACCTCCACAAGGGGAGAGAGGCACACGCAAGGACGATTCACGATCCATAGGCCCCCGAGATTGGTGTTGGGCCAAAACTTTTAAAGGTCTCAATTCTGCCTTCCTCCTGTTCTTTGTGCCCTCCTTCCTCCAGCACGGCACTCCACCATCTCTGTGCATCTAGAGCAGAAAGAATACATATTCACCAGCAGTAGACAATTTTCTACACTCTGGGTCCTAGTGGTGCCCCCCAGAGTCTGGCACCTGAGGTGGCCACCTCAGTTTGCCTCATGGTAAGGCCAGCCCTGCAGACCTGGAAAATTGGTGATCCCTATGGTAATGGAAGACATGAAGGCCACCACTCTAGAGGACTCCAGCTGCAGCCAGACCATTACACAGGAAGGCCTCATGCAAGACCTCCAGCTAGTTGAGGAGACACTCAACCTCCAATGCACCTATGGCAATGTGTGTCCCTACCATACCACCCATGAAAATTTTGAGGGCCAAGGCTGAAAGGGAGCTCCTGCTGGTAGGTGTGGGCCCCCATCTGACATACCTAGTGGTATTAGGACAAGACTGGCCCATGTTTCAAGAGGTTGTGAGGGAGTGTGACTATTACCCCACAAGAAAGTGGCAACCTAGGATTGCAGGAGAGAGGATGCTGGGGCTTGCCATGGAGACAGACCTTCAAAAAGGATCCACAATGGACCCAAATCCAGGTGAAAATATGCCAGAGGAGGATGTCCAGCTAGAGTCAGCAAGGGACATAGACTTCCTGTAGGAACAAAGGAAATACCAGACCTTGAGCCGATAATGGGAGCAAGCCACCGGTCACGACACAGAGGAAAAAGAGGAAACAAGACACCTCCAGGGGCCATGCTTTGAAATTCAGAAAGACCGACTATATTGGATGGAGGCGGACTCCCAGACATGGGAGGAGATACACCAGTTAGTGGTCCCCCGGAGGCTACGCTAAAGCTCCTATATTTGCCACATGTCAAATGAGCATGTTTACAGTGGGAGATCTCAAGTTACAGTGGGGGAGGCCTAGGTTGGATATTAGGAAAAACTATTTCACTTGGAGGGTGGGGAAGCACTGGGATGGGTTCCCGAGGGAGGTGGTGGAATCTCCATCCCTAGAGGTGTTTAAGTCTCAGCTTGACAAAGCCCTGGCTGGGATGATTGAGTTGGGATTGGTCCTGCCTTGGGCAGGGGGCTGGACTTGATGATCTCCTGAGGTCTCTTCCAGCTCTGTGATTCTAGGACACGTAGGTAACGGAAAGACCCTCCAGAGAGTGGCACGGAGGTTCTTTTAGCCTGGCATACACCAAGTCTGAGACTAACGTGCTTCATGCCCAAAATGCCAACAAGCTGGGCCTAAGGGCATCCTCAAGGCCCCACCCATACATCTATTGGTCATAGATGTAATGGATTGGGATGGACCTTGTCGGACCATTAGAGAAGAGCAAGATGGGGAACAGATTCATCCTGGTGACAGTAGATTACACAACCCGGTATCCAGTCGCTGTCCTACTTCGAATAGCAACCGCAATGCATATAGCAAATGAGCTGGTGAAGGTATTTGCCAGGGTGTGGATACCCAAAGAAATCTCGATCGATCAGGGTACCAATGTCTCATCTGATTGCAGAGTTGTGTCAGCTCATGCACCGTCGGACCCTCCAGACATCAGTATATTCCTCCCCAGACAGGTGGACTCGTGCGATGATTTAACACCATCCTCAAATCGCGCCACGTAAGTTTGTAGAAGATGACCCACAATATTGGAACATGCTCCTACCAGCCCTACTCTTTGCTATAAGGGAGGTCCCTCAAGCCTCATAGACTTTAAGGTCAGAAGGGACCATTATGATCATCTAGTCTGACCCCCTGCACAGTGCAGGCCACAGAATCTCACCCATCCCTCCTAGAATAATCCTCTCACCTATATCTCCGATATTGAAGCCTTCAAATACTTTGAAGGTCCCAAGATGCAGAAAATCCTCCAGCTGTGATCTGTACCCCATGCTACAGAGGAAGGCGAAAAACCTCCAGGGTCTCTGCCAATCTACCCTGGAGGAAAATTCCTTCCCGATCCCAAATATGGCGATCAGCTAAACCCTGAGCATGTGGGCAAGACTCACCAGCCAGACACCCAGAAATTCTCTATAGTAACTCCTATCATCCCTCAATTGACCTATTTCCCACTGAAAATGAATGGTCAATTAGTTACCAAGATCATATTATCTCATCAACCCTTATCATAGAATCATAGAACTGGAAGAGACCTCAGAAAGTCCAGCGCCCTGCTCTAGGCAGGACCAATCCCATCTCAATCAACCCAGCCAGGGCTTTGTCAAGCCAAGACTTAAACACCTCTAGGGATGGAGACTCCACTACTTCCCTAGGTAACCCATTCCAGTGCTTCACCACCCTCCTAGTGAAATAGTTTTTCCTAATATCCAACCTGGCCCTCTCCCACCACAACTTGAGACCATTGCTCCTTGTTCTGCCATCTGTCACTACTGAGAACAGCCTCTCTCCATCCTCTTTGGAACCTCCCTTCAGGAAGTTGAAGATTGCTATCAAATCCCCCCTCACTCTTCGCTTCTGCAGACTAAACAGACCCAAGTCCCTCAGCCTCTCCTCGTAGGTCATATGCTCCAGACCCCTAATCATTTTGGTTGCCCTCCGCTGGACCCTCTCCAATGCGTCCGCATCCTTTTTGTAGTGGGGGGCCCAGAACTGGACACAGTACTCCAGATGTGGCCTCACCAAAGCCGAATAAAGGGGAATAATGACATCTCTGGATCTGCTGGCAATGCTCCTCTTAATGCATCCTAATATGCCATTAGCCTTCTTGGCTACAAGGGCACACTGTTGACTCATATCTAGCTTCTCATCCACTGTAACCCCCAGGTCCTTTTCTGCAGAACTACTACTTAACTGGTTGGTCCCCAGCCTGTAACTATGCTTGGGATTCTTCCGTCCCAAGTGCAGGACTCTACACTTGTCTTTGTTGAATCTCATGAGATTTCTAGTGGCCCAATCCTCCAATTTGTCTAAGTCACTCTGGACCCTATCTCTGCCCTTAAGCGTATCTACCTCTCCCCCTAGCTTAGTGTCATCTGCAAACTTGCTGAGGGTGCAATCTATCCCCTCATCCAGGTCATTAATAAAGATATTGAACAAAACCGGTCCTAGAACCGAACCTTGGGGCACTCCACTAGAAACCGACCTCCATCCTGACATCGAACCGTTGATCACTACCCGCTGGGCCCGGCCTTCTAGCCATCTTTCTATCCATCTTACCGTCCATTTATCCAATCCGCATTCCCTTAACTTGCTGGCAAGAATATTGTGGGAGACCGTATCAAAAGCCTTGCTAAAGTCAAGGTATATAACATCCACCTGACCTGGCACGCAGGGTTCCGTCGGACTCCGGCCTGGGATCTAGTGCAATGCCGAAATTGCACCGTCACTGCAGAACAGTTCGACAAACCGGTTGACCTGGCACGCAGGGTTCCGTTGGATTCCGGCCTGGGATCTAGTACAATGCCGAAATTGCACTGTCACTGCAGAACAGTTCGACAAACCGGCCCATTCAATTCAATGGTTCATCAGCATTTTCCCAGCCCACTCGAATGACTTTATGCGCCTGCTTCTCTCTGGGGCCGTACCCCACAAAAGGCCTGTGTGGGCACACGCTGGAGGCTTGAGAGCTGTGCCAGCCATGTTAATCGCTTTGGATCCCCCTTGATCAAAGCAGATGGCTTCAGATCATTGGTCACTGCCTCACTATGTAAACATAGAGTGTTGTTTTCAGACAAACAAGTGGGGGAATTCACACTTCTCTACTTTGCCAGATGCTGTGTTTATCAGACACCTGGTATGAAAAGTCTCTTAAATATTGGAGGGAATTTGCCTGCAAAAGAGGCTCGATCAAGTTCTGTGAAGACAAGTAGTCTAGTTATCCTTAGATGCTAATTGTAGTAAAACTATGCAGGGTGCAATGGTGCAAACTATCCCTTACTCACACGACTCTTAGGCCACTAGAGCGGAGATTGATTTGTCTGGTGTTTGATTTAGCAGGTCTAGTTAAGACCCGCTAAATCAATCATCACAGACTCTTCAATTCATGGCTTGCCCATTGAGAGGACTAGCATGATGGGTGTGTTTGGGAAATTCTTGGTGGCCAGGACTCCATCCCACAGCCTCCCTTGAGCTGTGACTGGTATGTTCCAAGGCACGTGTGGCATGGGGTGTATACTCTGCTATTGTCAATCAGCCTTGATGTCAGACAGAACAATGCCAGTCTATACCAGCTGAGATCCCCACCCCACATACACTCACACAACACGGATCCCTCAAGAGGCACAAACATCGAGTGGAACCACAACATTTTGTCTTTATTACGCGTTCCCATGGTAATATAACACAACTGGTAAGGAATAAAACACAAGACTTTTGGGGTGGGGTCTGCCATTGAGACAATGGTCAAATATCAGTACTTTTTGTCTACACACATGATCAGCTTTAGCACTTACAGTTCCTCCTCTCATAGTTCACAATCACAAATCCAAGGGTTAAATCCAGCTAGCATTAAATCCTACATTTTTTTAAGAGCTTCAAGTCACTGCGGTTAATTGTCAGTCTTATTTTTCTTTAAGCATTTACATATGACATTCATTAAACGGACACAACGCAAATGAGCTCCCACAGAAAAACATGCTTACATAGCCTGCAAAAATCTTTTATTTTTTTCTCTTTGTAATGAATGAATAAATCTACCTGAAAAGTCAGTCAGTGAAGGGGGAAAAAAAGAACAAGGAAGACTCAAGTGAATACTGAAGAGCTGCAAATGTTTCGTAAAATTGAAACGACTGTTTCTTTTTTCTCCCCAACTTGTTCAAATTTATTTCAACGTACAGGTGGAAAAAACCAGCTGCAGTATATATTAGGTTTACGATTTACTTCAACAAAAAAGTGCAATCTCTTTTACGAAGAACAAAAGACCCAAGAGTTAAACCAAAATCAAACGTGGCTGGACAAATAAACATACTGACCTATTTTTTAAGGCTGATATTTTTGAAGGAGTTAGATGTTGAGATCCAATAGGACTTAGGTACCTAAACTGCTGTAAGATTACTTGGAAAATCCCAGCTTTGATACGTTACAAAAGCAGACTTGGGTTTTAGTTTTTAAAAGCCTGCATATATCTATTTTCCTTAAGAACCTAGAAACACTATTTTACCTGTTTTTAAAACACGGAAAAATAAAGTTAATGCACATGGGAAAATGCAAACAGAAGAAGCAGATGCCACCCACGAATACCAGGGGACACAACGACAAGGTAAGTGAGGTAATATCTTTTATTGGACCAAGATATTGTCTCAAACACCCTGTCTCCCTCATATCCTGGGACCACCGTGGCTCCAACAATGCTTCAGGGGACAAAAAGGTGGCGAAGGCAAATGCTGTGACAATGGGTGAACGTTACCCCCTGTGCAAAGAACCAGCTCAAGGCCCCAACCCCTCAAAATACAGCTTGAGTAGGACTTAAATGGTGCATATGAGCCAACTGCCCTCTGGATCTGAAACCAGGATCATCCATCATCTGAGCTAAAGGATCAGCACAACCAGTCCCCCCAAGGTGTCTAACTCTCGCTGCTTTCCAAGGGAGTTAGGCACCTAAAAACCTTTGACGATCTGGCCTGAGCTCACAGGTACTACGTATTCTCTATATGGAGTTTGGCGAGTAGATAAGGACAAAGACCTACCACTGAGTCAGGGTGGAATAAATATAGGCCTTTTCCTGGGTGTTTGCTTTAGGGTGAAATTTGCCCTTGTGCCGTGACCTACTGTATAACCATTTCCAAATCACCAGCAAAATCCTAACATAAATCAGCCTTGCTACCACCAGCTATACCTCTGACCCTGGAAATGGAACTGCTATTCTAGGTTTCTGCTAGGGGAGTGAGGGCATCTTTACGTGATACTAAGGAAGATTCTTTATCTATGATAAGAGTGCTCTTCTCAGTTCTGCTATTCATCTGATCCTCAAAGAGGAGTGGCCACTATTCCCTGTAAGCTGAGCTCTTGGGCAGATGCCCAGGAGAGTTTTAGGTGCTACTCAGCACCCACAGCCAGCAGTGTGTGTCCCTATTGGTGGTGCACATCCCCACATGACTCAGTGCACACAACAAAATTTATTCTGCACCTGGATGGAAAAATTAGAGGGAATATTGGGAGCGGCTATTGAATTTAACATACTGCCAAATGAACTACTGACTAAAACCTCAGCTCACGGCACTTCACCTCCAATTGGAAAGCCAGGGTTTCCTGAAACTGTTTCAGAACTTCAGCTGGTGTCAATTAAGTCTCACCTTTAGTGGAACTAGGATGATTGACACCAGCTGAGGGCCTGTGACATTTTGAGGGAGATCGGAGCTTAGCTTTGAGGCCTACACATGTCTATGAACTAACAAAAGTATCAAGGGCTTGCTGAAATGATGCTATGAGAACTCCCTACAACCAAATGATTGTGATGATGGTGCTGGTGAAGGTCAAAAAGCAATGACACAAATGAAGCAGGGAGGGGAAGAGAGAAGGGGGCAGGGATGTCCACTCTTGAGATAAGACTCCGCCAACACAAGGGGACAAAACAATAAAACAAAATGCAAACGACACTCAACTTGTAAAATTTCCTCCAAGATCCAATTTGCAGAAAAATCCAGAAGGAAAAACAAAATCTCCACCCGAACGGATAAGAGGCTATTTGTCAATTTCTAGCACAGGTTCCTATCCGTAACAACACAGATTGATCGTGATGGGGGAATGCTGATGTAAGTTTAGCCTTGTATCCCTCCATCCTTATTTAGCTGTGCTGTTGCAGGTCAGGACCCTAAGCAATCTGCAATTTAAAACCCCTTGAGTTACGGCTCTGTTGGACGTCTCAGAAAGCAATTTTTTTTTAAAAGGCAGCTCCCGGGAAATTCACTTTATCCTTCCTTTGTCAAAAGAAAAGATGTTTAAGGGGGAACGGAGGCCACACCTCAAACACCCTCTTGAGAGTGAAGTTTTGCATGTCCAGCGTGTCAGATGGCGTTTGTTTCTTTGACTGTGGAGGGATCGGGGGAGAGGTGGGAGTGAGTGGGCTGACAATGAAGAGGGCAGACTGAGGGGACTGAAAGTGGCACCCTAGCGGAGCCCCACGGTGGTTGCCCGCAGTAACCGTCACAGGCTCTAAAAGAATCAAAAGGGTCTCCAGAGACCCCGCCCCCTCCCCTGGTCCGCTAGGCGGCCTCAGAGGGATTTCGTTTCTTAACCCAAGCTGGTGATGTTGGCACGTCCACCGGGCGGCGCCACGATGCGCTGAGTGGTGCGGCGGGGGATGTTGTCGTCGATCTGGGCACCTGGAAGGAGAAGGAGAAGAGGCCATGTCAGTGCAGGGCTGGAGCGGAGTAGCTGTCAACACAGTAACATAGACCCATGACAGGCCCAGTCATCTACGGGCCGCGTTCAGGCCTGGGACTAAGAGGACGCAGCTCCTCTGAAACCGATGCCGTCCTCTTAGGCCTCAGGTTGAATTAAGCCCCCTGGTCAAGTTCCTCAAAGGTAAGTAGGCACCTAATTCCCATGGAAACCAACGGATTTCCTGCCATGGGGAAGATTTCTTCTTAACTAGCCACAAAACAGGGAGCTGCTCTGTGCGGTGGGGAATCACGATGCCCCGCTGAATTGCTCTAATCCAAACCACCAGCGCTCTCTAGCGGACTCAGTCCTAGTCCTCTCTGCTGAGGCGGCCCCATTAATTACCATGCTGGGTCCTGAGATGTAGATTAGATTGAGACCTTTAGAATCCTAGGGCTGGAGAGGCCTCAGGAGGCCAGGCCCCTGCTAAAAGCAGGACCAACCCCAACTAAATCATTCCAGCCAGGGCTTTGTCAAGCCGGGACTTATATCTGGAGATTCCACCACCTCCCTAGGGAACCCATCCCAGGGCTTCTCCACCCTCCGAGGGAAACAGTTTTTCCTAATATCCAACCTAGACTTCCCCCACTGTAACTTGAGACTGTCGTTCCTCCTTCCGCCATCTGTCCCCACTGAGAACAGCCTCTCTCCATCCTCTTTGGAACCTCCCTTCAGGAAGTTGAAGGCTGCTCTCAAATCCCCCCTCGCTCTTCTCTTCTGTAGACTTGGTGGGGGTCTTATGAACCGGTTCTTCCCCAGCAAGGGTACTGAAGAACTTAAGACTCTTAACACTTTAACAATGAGCTTTTAACACTTCCCAGCAGCCAGCAAATCCTTCAGCCCATGCTGCTTCCTGTGGCCCCCCAAGGAGCGTGGGGCCAGTCCCCTTCTGGCCCTGCGTGGCTTCTGCTTTTGAAATGTAGCAAGAGCCCCCGCAGAAGCGGCTTCAGTCCTCGCTCACGCCATTTCCCGCTGTGCCTCTACCTCCCCTACCCCCCGTGGAGACACTGATAGAGGGTGGGGAAGCGACTAGTTGTATCACTAGTCAACTATCCAATAAGCTTATGCTTATCAGATAGTCGATTCGTCGCTCACATCCCTACTCCAATGTCCACCCTACAATTCTGGGCTTCTACGTATGTACTTTTACTTTACTCCTCTGAATTTGGCCACCTCTAAACGAGTCACTGACATAGGCAAAAAAAAAAAAACCCCAAAAAACTCTTAACGTTATTTCCTCTCACTTTTGTCAGCAAATTTTGGGTTTTTATTGAAAAAAAAATCAATCGATTTTTGTTGTTGTTGACAAATCCAAAAAAGCTGAGTCAGTTTTGGCATTAATCAAAAATCTTCCATGCAGGAAAAGTTAATTTCCTGATTGGCTCTCAGCTTAGCAGGAAGATCCAGAGAAGAGGCTGCTTATTTTCCAGATATTGAGTTGCTCTCTCTTTGTAACTCACCATTGAACCCTCTCTTCCCAATTCAGGAAAGATCTTTTCTGCCTTGCTCTGGAGTACATGGACGAGAGCCCACACGCAAGGTGTACAATAGCATAGCTCCACATAATCTGGCTCTGCATGCCAACTGCATGCACTTCATGGATGAAAAACCTCAGCTATAGATATTGCAAGATTAAAAAGTGAAATTTACGAAGCGCCAGATCCCCATCTTGCAAAGTTCTGGACCTACCTAACTTGCATTCTAGCTTGGGGACCTGGCCTTTGAAGTAGAGGGAGAAATCGAGTCCTTTGCTTTGGCACTGAAATAAATCAAAATTCTAGGAGGGCTTCTATTCAGATTTTTCTTCTGCTATGAAATTAATCTTGCTGCTGTAAGCCCTCTCAATCCCTGTCTTCCCCTGTTATTACAACCGAACCCCCGGCCCCACAAGAAAACAACCAAGATTTCAACGTAATAATTTAGCCATACATAAGTATGTACCAGACAAGCTAAATCCAGACTGGTGCAGGTTCCTGACAGGTGGGGCCTGCTGTTTGGCTGGAGACGTCTTGGCCGAGGATGCTGGTGTGACAGTCTTCGGTGTCACAGATACTTCGCAGACGGGCCCGTCGTACAGGCCCCGAGGGACGCCCCGCAGCTCAGCCAGCTGGAAAACACACAAGCAGTGAATCTCCAAACAGCACAGCTAAAGGCAGCGTTGGGAGGAGACCTGAATGGGGGCCAGATGCCGTCAAGTCTGAGACGTTTGAGTCAAGGTCCAGTTTTCTCCCTGGAATTCAAAACCCACATCTCTGCATGGTGCTGCTGCCGACTGAAAACTACGTCTGTTCGACAGCACAAGTGAAAGGGAGACCAGCCTTTAACCCTCCAGCTGCGATAACTTACTTTACATTGAATTTAATTTCACTCACTGAGAAAAGGCCAACCAGACCTGGAAAGGAAATCAATACTTCTGTAATGACCACAGTATCCCAAAATAATGGGATTTCATATTAACCTTCCTGGGCCTCCAGTAGTATAAATCAGTGCCTTCAAAGCTTTGCCATCAACATTTTCAAACACACCATTCATAAAGAAGAGTATCATTTGCAAGGACTACTTTAACAAAGTATAATCACAGGCAAACAGTAGATTCTATCCAGCAGAGGGCGGTGTTGCAGATACGCCAGTACAGCCTGGATTATTTCCTTTTGTCCTTAAAGATTCCGACAAGTTAACCAACACGTACAATTACGTTACTGTTCCATTTTGAAACAAGCACTCTACGGGTCAGATCCTCAGCTGGTGTAAAACGGTAGAGTTGGGTTGATTTCCATGTAGCTATGCTGACTTCTACTGACGCAGGAGCTCTCTAACGGCGTCTGTTTGGGCTCCACGTACCTTTTCAGCCTCGAAGACCAAGTCTACTATTTTTCAAAAGCAGAAAATGTTCTCACTATATTTGTTTCAATTCATAATAGAAGGTCAGGCTGGAAGGAACCTTCAAGGCAAGTCCTCTGCCCTGAGGCAGGACCAAGTAAACTTAGACTACCGACCTTCAAGGCAAGTCCCCTGCCCTCAGGCAGGACCAAGTAAACTTAGACTACCCCAATAGATGTTTTGTCCAGCCTGTTCTTAAAACCCCCAACAATGGGTTTCTAAGAGCCTTCTTAACTATCCTTATTAGAAAGATTTTTTCCCTAATATCTAACCTAAATCTCCCTTGCTGCAGATAAAGCCTATTACTACTAGTCCTACCTTCAGTGAAACTGGAGAACAACTGACCACCATCCTTTTTATCAACAGCCCTTAACCTATTGGAAGACTGTGATTAGGTTCCTCTTAGTATTTTCTCAAGACTAATTGTGTTCAGTTTTTAACCTTTCCCCATAAGATCAGGTTTGCTAAATCTTTTCTCCTTTTTGTGGCTCTCCAATTTGTCCATCTTTCTTAAAATGCAGTGCCCAGAACTTAACGTGGTACCAAGTGAGCCTTCACTATTTCTGAGCAAAGTAGGACCACTACCTCGCATGTGCTACACACAAACACTTCTGTTAATTCACTCCACATTTTTAGCCTCTCTCAACAGCATCCCATTCAATAGGTGCTCCACTTTAACCCCTGTTCCTTGAGCAGTACTGCTGCCTAGCCCGTTCGTCTTCTTTTGGTAGCTGTGCATTTGATGTTTCCTGCCTACGTGTCAACTTACTACATTTAAATCTTTCAAAACTTGAATGTAAAGCCAACAAAGCTGTAAACTGAACTGCAAGAGAATCAGACGGTGTGCGCCTGAAACAAGTGTGACTAGCCTCGTTTCACTGTCTGAAGATGGATTAAATGCAAAGGAAACAAAGCAAACAGTATAATTAGTGCTTATTTTAAAAGTGTACATTTTACTGGATGATAATTAACTTAAATACTATTTATATACTTTTTTCTTCCTACTGTGACAGAATGCTAGTACCTTGTAGAAGCAGTTATTCTGCTCACTCACCCTGCCAGACAGAACAAATGCTTATTATTTTTGCTGTCCCTCTAAGAGTATGTCTACACTACACATATTTTAGCAACACGGCACTCCTGCCAAGAAAGCACTGTTCATACTAGTGCCACAGCAATGCTTTTAGGGTTGTGGGGAAGGAGCTAAGCATCTGTGTAGACAAAGACTAAGAGAAAGGAAAGTTAAGAGTAGACATGGAGGTTCTGTAGGGATAACCAAGTTCAAGGTGAGGCTTAAGGGGTATGGAATGGCCACCAAGATTAATAAGACTGTGACTTTTCAGCTTGGAAAAGAAACTACTTAAGGGGGGGATGTGATAGAGGTGTATAAAATCATGACTGGTGTGGAGAAAGTGAATAAAGAAGATTGATTTACACCTTTTCATAACACAAGAACTAGGGGTCACCAAATTCTGATTTACACCTTTTCATAACGCAAGAACTAGGGGTCACCAAATTAAATTAATAAGTAGCAGGTTTAAAACAAACAAAAGGTAATAACTTCACACAATGCGCAGTCAACCTGTGGAACTCCTTGCCACAGGATGTTGTGAAGGCTGAGCCTAATACAGGGATCAAAAATGAGCTAGATAAGTTCATGGAGGACAGGTCCATCAATGTCTATCAGTCAGGATAGGCAGGGATGCTTTCTCTAGCTTTGGTTTGTCAGAAGCTGGGAACGGGCGACAGGGGATGGATCACTGGATGATCACCTTTTCTGTTCATTCCCTCTGGGGCACCTGGCATTGGCCACTGTCGGAAGACAGGACACTGGGCTAGATGGACCTTTGGCCTGACCCAGTCTGACTGTTCTTATGTAAGTTCATAGTTTAGAAAATAATAAAAGCCAACACTGGGAAGGAGGTCAATTTGGACAATACCCACAGTGTTTCCTATGAAAGAAGTAGCATGGGGGTGTTTATCAGCCCCGTCATGCAGAAGCGTCATAAACTAACTTGCATTCACTGACATACTCACCCTGCTCCTGGCTTTAATGCGCTTGTAAACAAAGTCAGGGAATGGTTTCCTGGGGATGTACCGTCCGGAGCCCTCAGTTGCATGGAGGTTGCCGTCTTCCAGCACAATCTTTCCCTGGCTGATAACCACCAGCGGAGACCCCCGGCACTCCATGCCTTCGAAGATATTGTACTCCAGCGACTAGGACAAAAAGACGACATCAGGACAAAGTGTCCCCCCCATGCCAGGTGCCATGTTTTACATCTAGAGGGAATATCCCTCCCCCCCCAGTTTTTTAAAAATAGTGATCCTTGCTGATTCCCCCATGTAGAGTTCAGGTGGGAGACAGGCGACACTACTGATACACCCATCCTTAATATATGCGGTGACATCACATTCATCTGTACTGCTTTTATGATGAGGCTAAAGCCTAAGGTCTCTATTCACTTCTTACTCATCGTCACCCAAGGAAAATTCCCAATGGGACACAAGTCACAATGACGAATAAGTTCACACTTGGAGGCACTAAAGTTAATCTTTTAGGCTTAGGTCCTCAAAGGGCCTGGTAGATGGCTGACAAAGGGATTGAGGAGCTTGATCCAAAGTGCACTGAAGTCATTCACTATTAGGCCTGATTTTCAGAGGTGCTGTGTACCAACCCCCACCTTGAAGCAGAAGGAGGGTCTGATTGTTACAGCCCTAGAGGAGAACTCTGAAGGACCGGGTTTCCTTTCTCAGCTCTGCCACAGCCGCGTGTCATCCTGCACAAGTCACTTGAATTCCCATTTTTCTGCAGATCATCTGTGCTGCCGCTGCCCCTTTAAAACGCCGCTTCTGCACACATTTGAAAGGGGCAACCCTGGAGCCTGAGGTCAGCAGGGGACTCCCCCAAGCTGATCCTGGGTTCCCCGGGGTCAAGCAACCCTGGAGCCTGAGGTCAGCTGGGGACTCCCCCAAGCTGATCCTGGGTTCCCCGGGGTCAGCTGGCCTGACCCTGGGTTCCGCTGCTGTGGAAAGCCGAGGATCAGCTGGGCTGTCCCCAGGTTCCGCTGTCGCACAGAGCTGAGGATCAGCTGACCCCGGTCTCCACCGCAGATGCCCCTTTGAAATGCCAGAAGCGGCATTTTAAAGGGGAAGCTGGAACCCAGGGTCAACTGGGGATTCCCAGCTAATCCTGGGCTCCCCGCAGCAGCGGAACCCAGGTTCAGCTGAGCACTCCAGCTGATCCCAGGCTCCTAATATGCTGCCCCTTCAAGACGCTGGGATGGCATTTCCAAGGGACAGGGCAATGCAGAGCCCGGGATCAGCTGGGAGCAGCAGCGGAACCCAGGTTCAGCTGAGCACTCCAGCTGATCCCAGGCTCCTAATGTGCTGCCCCTTCGAGGCGCCGGGATGGCATTCCCAAGGGACAGGGCAATGCAGAGCCCGGGATCAGCTGGGCACTCCAGCTGATCCTGGGTTCCATGTTACACTGCCCCTGTGATGCGCCACCGCAGCGCTTTAAAGGGGCAGCGCTGCATGGAGCCCAGGGTCAGCTGGGAACTCTAGCTGATCCCGGGCTCCATGTAGCGCTGCCCCGTTGAAACACCACAGCGGCGTTTCAAAGGGGAGGTGCACGCAATTAATCACGATTACATTTTTTAATCGCGCGATTAATAATTGCGATTACATTTTTTTAATCACTTGACAGCCCTAAATAAAACAAAGATCATGTAAGAGAGAAGCATCCAGAGACAAATAAAAGCTGTTTCATGTTCACTGAGTACTGCATGCATTATCAATCATATTTGTATTCTACTATTGCCAACAAGTCCCAACTGAGATCAAAGCCCTATTTTTTTCTAGCTGAAATGCACATCTGAGAAGAACGTTTCAGTGCAAGGTGAACAAGCTATGAGAATTTGCTAGAAAAAGGGCACTGATGTTGCCTTTTCCTATTGTACGGTTTTGTCTTTAGACAATAAATATGACTAAGTTTCATTATTTGGTCTTCTGAACATTTAAGAACAAACGAGTGTAGTCAGACAATTGGAAACAGTTTTGAGTCTCTCATATGTGTCGTAAAAACATACCGCACATCTACTGCTAATTCAATTAATGCTGCATTTTGAGGAGCTCGTGTCAACGTTTTGGTTGAGTCGAGGACTAGGGCAATCTTATTTTACTCTAATAGGATTGCTCATCCTTAATTAATGGGATTTGAAATATTTCCCCAAGGGGGTGGGTGGAGACACACAGAGTTGTTCCAGAAGAAACACTGGTAAATGCTCCAGCCCTTAACAGAACTGGCATGGAGGCTCCACCAACATGTTATTTGGGAACAGTTATTCTTGTGATCTTCTCTGAGGGAAATAGCAACTTGATCCAAGTCACTTTTGCTGAGTTAATGATGGGGTCTGGTCTTTAAGTGGGTTATAGGTTTCCCATTAGTTAGAATGGTGGTTAAACAAAAAGCAAACGGGGTCCCGTCTGCAAAGGGTTGTGGTTCCACTGATGAGGGTCTGGATAAAAGCCCAGGAATTAGGTTCGGTCTGAGCACAAAAAGATTCCCCCTCTAACTTGAATGTTCCCTTGCCAGAGAGTGGCACAGCTGTGAACGCCTGGAAAATGTGGTGCTCTAATGAGCCAGTGCCCCAGAATCACAAGCTCTGGTTGTGCAGCAGCTATAGCGTCTCCTGCGTTTCACACAGGCCTGGCTTTTATCTTTAAGGAATTGCTGTTCCTTGTATTTCAAAGTTTCCTAATCAGTCTGCACTTGTATCACTTTTGCCTCCATTACCAAGAGCCTAAGAGGTGCTTCCGATGCCCAATAACTAACAGACGCTATGCAGGGCACGTTTCCTACACCCAGAAAGCATAATTTTAGGTCAAGATGCAAATAGGGGCAGGGGCCCGACAACCAAACAAAAGAGCATTACAATCAAGTATGACACAGCAGTCACGGTTCACCCCTGCCTAAAGTCTGCACAGCATCTAGTACACTGGGAACATCAGAGACTTCCTATTGCTTCTGTAACCCAAACATCTAAAGAATCTCTCTATAACCTCGCCCTCCCACGCACCCTCCTTTTTTATAGCCAAGTCAGAGGCCTTGGGCTCTCTCTTTACTGAGTGTTTATATAGCGCCTAACATAACTGGGATTTGAGTCCTGCCACGGCAGCCTCTAAGTCAGCGCACCCTTTATCCTGCCTCCCTCCCCCTGAGGGCCAGGACTAGAACTCACCACCCTGCCTTCTGCAGGTGAACGCCCTATCCCCTAGGCCAGGACGGGGTGGCCAACCTGTGGCTCCAAAGCCACAGAAGTTACTATGCAGCTCCTTCCATAGATACCAAATCCAGGGCTGGAGCTACAGGTGCCAACTTTCCACTGGGCCGGAGAGTGCTCCCTGTTCACCCCCCAGCTCTACCCTAGGCTCTTTCCCCCTAGGATCCTACCACTGAGCCTGTCACACCCATGCTTCCCCCCTCCAGTGTCTCCCAGAGCTGAGCACAGTGGGCAGGAGGAAAAGGAGGAGGCGGCACCGACCGGTGGGGCTCCAATGGGCGGAATATGCTGAGTGTGGTGGTGGGGAGGTGATCAGGGCTGATGACATAGAATGGTTGCACTTTGGAAATGTGCATTGGTAAATTCTGGCTCCTTCGCAAGTTTAGGCTGACCCCTCCCTCTGCTCTAAGTGGTATTGTATTATCAAAAATTAGTGCCTCTTGGAAGTCTTTTGAAGCAATAAACGTGCTATTTGGAAATGAATGTCTATTTTATGTACTGCTTGTACTTCTCGGGACATGTTCAACAGTGGGTCGGAGGAGGAGTAGATATCTGCATGAAAATTAGACATCTGTAGCTTTACTTCATGGTTTGTGCTGTTTGTCTTCAGTTGAAGTCTCTCCCATCTTGACTTTTTAAAAGGTAGCTTTTAAATCTCTTAATTTTAAAGCTTTTAACTGGGGCTCAGGTTATCAAAGGGTGCATCTACACAGCAGGGCTTACCTTGAAATAAGCTATGCAAACAGAGCGACGTCAATTGCGTAGCTTCTTGCAAAATAGTTTATTTTGAAATTGGGAGCATCTACATAGCACTTATTCTGAAAGAGCACTTTTCCTCTGACTTCCCTTACTCCTCGTGCAACGAGGGTTACAGGAGTCAGGATAAGAAGCCCTCCAGCTTGACAGTATTTCAACATTATTTCGAAATGCCTGCCTGCTGTGTAGACACAAACTAAGTTATTTTGAAATTCCGCTAGTTATTTTGAAATAATGTGGCCATGTAGATGTACCCAAAGGTAGTTTCTCTACCCAACTCCCATGGATTCCAGAGTCATAGGCTACTAGAACTGGAAGGAACCTCCGAAGAGCATCAGGTCCAGTCTCCTGCACTCATGGCAGGACCAAGTATGATTTAGATCATCCCTGATAGATGTGTCTTATAAAAGTTTGTGTGTTGTAATGTGAAACTCAGACTCTTTGTGGTACTCATTCACGACTTCAGCAGGCAGGGGTCTTTGGCGCTACATGCACAAGCTTCTGCCCTATGAGCTCAATGCCAGCTAAACAGAAGCCAGGGTGGCTCAGTCCCAGACTAATGCTCAACCCACTAGTCAACACTACCCCCCCTCACATATAAACTAGCTCTGGTGGGAGCTCAACACCTAATGGGCATGAGGGCCTCCATCTGCCAGCCTGATATGGCACCTTCCCGCAGCCCTGCTGTTGAATCTGCCGGCCTGATATGGCACCTTCCCGCAGCCCTGCTGTTGAGGACATCTTTAGGATGTGCAAGGTTCAATCATGGAGCCCTCGATTGCCAACAAAGCCAGAAATTCCCAAAAGCGCCCTAGTAAGTAAGGTGCATAATTCCCACTGAAAGTCAAGAGCGCTTGTGCTCCTAAATCACTTGGTCTTCTGAAACTTTCCCTTACATGGGTCTGGTTCTCCCCTGCTCTACACTACCAATACTGACGGAGCTGGCTAGAGGGATGGAGCTAATGCTGATTATACTGGTGTAAACCCATGAAAAATCAGGCTCTGTGTTTTTGTGATATGGACACAGGCCTTTTGGGAACCCACCCAACTCCCACCACATAAACAAAACCCATCAGAAGGGAAGACTGGCCAGATGCTACTTACTAAAGCAGGATTTGATCCAGTCCATTATAACCACCTTGGTCTACTCACACTCTGCAGGCTTTGTTTTATCGAGGATCTTTCATCCACTATAAAGTTAATGGCCCAGTTACCAAATTAGATAGCGTTAAGGAACAGGAAAGTAAGCCAAACTAAAAAAAAAAAAAGCTTTTGTGCCCAGGGATCCAATGGGTGAGGGCAAGTTTGCTGCCTCAGCAGTGACATGAATAAAGCCATTCACGGAAAACACACAAGGAGGTTTTCCAAGGAAACATTCCCTGTGTTTATAGCCAACAGCTAAGCCAGTTGCAAAGAGACCCACACGGGGGTTGCTCTCTCTCCTGCACGACTGACATTTTCCAAAACGTTTAATTTAGTACTCAAGACCTCCTCATTCAAATGCTGGAGCGCATACTTAAGGAATCATAGAATCATAGGGTTGGAAGAGACCTCAGGAGTCCAACCCCCTGCTAAAAGCAGGACCAAGGAGCTGGATTCTCTGCTGCAGTAAATTAATACAACTTCAGCAGACTTCTTCCTGATGGATTCCAGCTCACAATCCAGCCCACAGACTTTCAGGCCCGAAAGAACTTCTCTCATTTATCTAGTCTAACCATTTGAATCTCACAGAGCGCAGAAATCCCACAGCAAGCGTGGAAAGTCCTGGTTAAACTCGACTGTTTTTAATGGGCAGTTCAGTCTGCAAAATGTCAATCTGCCATTCAAACTCTTTGAAGTTCAAGCACATGCTTGAATCCTGACATTTGAGTCCACCCGTTATAATGACAAGGGAGCCATCAGCAAAATTTAAGTCTAAAAATCCAGCTCTAATGTGCTCACCTTAAGGTTTCAATTGAACAGTGTCCTACCAAGTGACATATTGCAGTAGTAGCTGAAAAACGAACCCCCAGGATCCGGAGTGTCCTAGGGTTGAGATCAGGGTTCCCAGTCCCATGTTCATGGGGCAGTGAACACTTACTTGCCCCGTTGCACTAAAGATTCAGCTATGGCAGAGCATTCACATAGGCGGTCTGGTCTCAGTGGGACTCTACAGTGATATTGACTTTGCTTTAAAGGATGGGGCTCTATGGCCAATTTTTATTTGCCCCTGGAGTGCCACGGAGTAATCAGGAGTCAGAATCAGATGTGTGTAAAAACATTCTCAATTAATGGAAAAATCAAGGAGAGAATGCTCAAGGAATCCATGTTGAAGTACTAGGAAGAGAAGAAAGTGATCAGGAACAGCTCCCATGGATTCATCAAGGGCAAGTCATGCCTGACCAACTTGATTAGCTTCTATGATGAGACTCTGGGGAAGTGGATGGATGTGTTATACCTTGACTTTAAAAAAGCTTTTGTTACGGTCTCCCACAGTATTCTTGCCAGCAAGTTAAGGAAGTATGGATTGGATAAACGGACTCTAAGGTAGACAGAAAGCTGGCTAGACTGTCAGGCCCAACAGGTAGTGATCCATAGCTCGATGTCAGGCTGCAGGTCGGTTTCAAGCAGAGTGCCGCAAGGATCAGTTCTAGGGCTGGTTTTGTTCAACATCTTTATGAATGACCTGGATGAGGGGATGGATTGCACCCTCAGCAAGTTTGCAGATGACACTAAGCTGGGGGAGAGGTAGATACGCTGGAGGGCAGGGATAGGGTCCAGAGTGACCTAGACAAATTGGAGGATTAGGCCAAAAGAAATCTGATGACGTTCAAATGGACAAGTACAGAGCCCTGTGCTTGGGATGGAAGAATCCCAAGCACTGGGACAAGTACAGAGCCCTGCGCTTGGGATGGAAGAATCCCAAGCACTGATACAGGCTGGGGGCTGTCTGGCTAAGCAGCAGTTCTGCAGGAAAGGACCTGGGGATTACAGTGGATGAGAGGCTGGATATGAGTCAACAGTGTGCCCTTGTAGCCAAGATGGCTAATAGCATATTGGGATGCATTAGGAGGAGCATTGCCAGCAGATCCAGGGAAGTGATTATTCCCATTTATTCAGCACTGCTGAGGCCACATCTGAAGTACTGCATCTGATTCTGGGGTCCCATTACAGAAAGGATGTGGACATATGGGAGAAAGTCCAGCTGAGGGTAACAAGAATGATTAGGGGGCTGGAGCACATGACTTACAAGGAGAGGCTGAGGGATTTGGGCTTATTTAGTCTACAGAAGAATGAGGGAGAACGGATAGCAGCCTTCAATTACCTGAAGCGTTCCAGAGAGGATGGAGAGAGGCTGTTCTCAGTAGTGACGGATGGCAGAACGAGGAGCAATGGTCTTAAGTTGCAGTGGGGGAGGTTGGATATTAGGAAAAACTATTTCACTTGGAGGGTGGGGAAGCACTGGGCTGGGTTCCCTAGGGAGAGGGTGGAATCTCCATCCCTAGAGGTTTTTAAGTCCCAGCTTAACAAAGCCCTGGCTGGGTTGATTTAGTTGGAGTTGGTCCTGCTTTTCGCAGGGGGTTGGACTCCGAAAGTCTCTTCCAACCCTCGGATTCTAGGATTCCCTGTGAACAGCAGGAGCACTAAGAAAATTATGGAGAAAGCTAGATGAGAACGCTCACTATGGACAGGGTTGCCCAGGGATGTGAAAAAGTTGACACCCTGAGCTCTGTAGTTACTCAATTTCACCCCTCCTATAGATGAGACTACATTGGTGGGAGAATTCATCCATCAACCTAGCTCCTGGAAGCCTCCGTGCCGTGGCTCTCCTGGCACCCAGCTGCAGCCCCAGAGCTGTGCTGTAGCGCAGACATGCCTGGAGCTTGGTGCAGAAGGGAGGATAAGCCGGGCTCAGCTGCAGAAGGTCCTTACTATGTTATGAGTCTTGGCAGAGACTGTCTTGATACTGTCAGGATCCCAGATGACAAGGTCAGCGTCAGAGCCCACCGCGATGCGGCCCTTCCGCGGGTACAGGTTGAAGATCTTGGCGGCGTTGGTGCTGGTCACAGCCACAAACTGGTTCTCGTCCATTTTACCAGTCACCTGGGGAAGGAGCAAAGATACCACTGCATCAGCAGAATGCAAACCTGCACTAACAGCGACATAGATTGGTTCCTAGTGGATGGAGGAGGTGGCTGGCTTTGTATCCATGTTACCTATTAATTGTTATAACCACCAAGCTCGGTTAATATCTTTCCTTCCTTCCTAGATCTAAAAACACTCATTCTTATTCGCAGTGGATCTTCAAGCACTTTTTTAAAAGCAAAGGAGGTCACTGCTAGTATCCCTATTTTACAGATGGGAAAACTAAGGCACGGGGAGGGCAAGCAGCCTGCCCAAGGTTACCCAAAGGGCCAGCAGTTATCCCAAGCCAGTACAGTATTCACTAGCTGACACTGCCTCCCGATCGCAGTGCAAACCTTAAACAAGCAGCACCCCACATGCCAGTGGGATGAGTTTATTAGACAGTTTACGGATGAGGAATCGGAGCAGCACAGAGACACAGGTGGAAAGGACTGCATCTCCCCAATAAGGGCTGGAGAATTTTAAGACAGGTTTTAGTTTCAGATTCAACCCCCTGAGAAAGTCCCTCCCCCACCAGGATCCTGCACTTGACCCCCGTGGAGCCCTAGTTGGGGCAAAGCCTGAGGGGACATGCAAGGAACTAGCGAACGAGACCCAAGAGCTCTACTCTAGGGATGTAAGCGACTGGTAGACTAGTGACTCGACTAGTCGCTTCCCCCGCTTTGCTGCTTCCATCAGAGAGGGGCAGCAAGGGGGGGAGCAGGATCGGGTGCTGGGGGGAGCGGGCTGAAAAGCCGGTTCCCCCCAGCACTGTGTCTGTGGGGAGAAGGGGCAGTGGCGCAGCAGGAAACAGGGCTCTTGCTGCACTTCAAAAGAAGCAGCGCTGCAGGGAGCCGGGGGTGAGCTGGGGATTCAAACAGTCCCTCGCAGGTCCCACGCTGCCTGCTTTTGAAATGTACAGGAGCCCCGGTGGCACTTTGCTTTTGAAATGGACAAGAGCCCTCCCATGACCCGCGGGGGGCTGCTTGAGTCCCCCACTGGCTGTGCTCCCCGCAGCATTTCTACTTTTGAAATGTGGCAAGAGCCGGCAGGAGGCTCATTTCAAAGGCAGAGGCGCCTTTATCGACCAATCGAACAGCTGATGCAAGTTACGTCGACAATTCGATTAGTTGATTAATCTAAAGTTAACATCCTTACTCCACATGGGCACTTGGAGGCTGCAAAGCAGCCCACAAGATGCTATTACGGATGCTCTTAAAGTAATCTCAGGGCTGCTCTAACTCACACCAGCCCCTTACAGCAGCCCAGAAGTGGGAGGATGCAAAAGTGGGCATCTACCTCTAAGTAGAGACAGACAACTCTCATTAGAGTCTGTTTTAAAGATCACTTCCGCTATTTTTTGGTTAGTGGCCTGTCTAGTAACAGCCCAGAAGTGGGAGGGTGTAAAAGTGGGCACCTACCTCTAAGTAGAGGACAGACAACTCTCATTAGAGCCTGTTTTAAAGACCACTTCTGCTATTTTTTGGTTAGTGGCCTGTCTAGATGCTAAACAGAGAAACCAGAAAGGGGGGGTTAGACACGTAACCCGCCTCCTCAGGGAGAGAATGGATCCGAGGGACATACCACAGCCTTATCCCAGACGATGGACATTCTTTCTTCAGTCCCATTGGTTCCTTCAGGGATCAGGGTGAAGTTGTCCTTTCCAACAGCTTTCTGGGCAGTGTTGAAGGTGCAGTGGGCACTGCCAGTTACCTGGAGGTCTCCGCTGAAACCCAAACACGGCGGCAATTACGTAAGAGACTTAATCTTCGCCGCAAATTAGCCGCTCAAGTCCTTAGAGCCCAGGGCCTTCCGCGTCAGAGCAGGCAGCCCGAGGCGGGTACCCAGAGGCAGAGCACGCGGCACAGGCGTGGTGTCTACAAACATGCACCTTCTTCTACTCACCAAGCCAGCAGGGAGTTGAGAAAATCAGGCGTGGTAGGGTCAGGACTCAGTGGTGGGGAGGTGACAAAGGCCGCTGCCTTGACCCAGTTCTTACTCCAGTAATGAGACCCATCGGTTCCCAGGCTTGCTGTGATGGGCTCCCCATAGACCACGGTGCCTGTGGGGCAGGAAGACACCAAGAGGACAGCGGTAAGCACCACACCGCCAGCAGAGCAACGTGCATCTCTTAGCGGCACCTACCTAATTAAGAGAGCTCAGGGAGACAACTTGCCCCTAAGGATCCTGTATCTACAGCAGCATTTTCTGCACCTTCCCCTGAGGCAGCTGGTACTGGACACCAAGAGAGGCCGGATACTGGCCCAGATGGTCTGAAGCAAGATGGCAGCTCCATGGTCTCTCCTGCTGTTCGAGCCCAACCCAATCTGTCATCTCAAATGACGAGCCGCCAGGTGCTAGAAATGCCCCAAACCTAAGGCCGGTGAAATCAGAACCAACACAAACCGCAAGGTTTGGCCAAAAATATTCTCGGAAACAAAATTCTGTCCTTATTAATCCACCCCACAGTATCCTGGAGCGTATTCAATGTTAACATGTCATCGGTATGGACAAACCGCCCCACCCTGCTAGTGGAAAACCACAATGTAAATAACAAGGCCTGTGCTGTTTATGAAAGGCATATTTGCTGATAAGAGGACAACTGTATACATTTCCACTGTGTCATCTGCTTGAGATATCATCTTAGATCAGTGTCACTGGACACAGGGGTGTGGGTACATGCTCCCTCAGAAGTACTCATGCTACCATTGCTTGCTGTTATATTACTGAAGACCTACATTTTTCACAAGTCCCTGGTGATTTTGAGTGCCCAGCTTGAGAAACCTTAACAACAACACTGCCCCCTACCTCTTATATACAGCTTTTCCTCAGTGGCACTCAAGGACCAGTGTCATCATCCATTTTACAGATGGGAAAACTGAGGCACAAAAACAGCAACATGACCTGCCCACAGTCACGCAGCAGCCCAGTGACAGCAGAGCAGGAAACAGAGCCCATGTCTCCTGAGTTTCAGTCCTTTGCTCTATCACTTCTTCCAGACTCTCAGATTTTCAGAGTGTGGATATTCAGCATTCCCTGAAACTCAGGTCCATCTATGGCAGCTCAGGTCAGGAACCCAAAACAACCGGTTGCTTTTGAACAAGGCACCCAAAACAACCGGTTGCTTTTGAACACGTACATGCCTCTCAGTATTTGTGAGTTATCAGCAACAGTCTTGTTTCTGATGAGCATTTAAAACAGCAGAAGTTGCACAGTCCTGTTGCAAGATTGCTACGTCTGAAAGCAATCTTTAAATCCTGCCTTTAAAGACTTGTAAATACCCAGTTTATTGGAGCCCTCAAACCGGGACCATACAGATAAGGAAGCAACAGTGTGTCTAAAGGCTCATTATGAGATAAATCAGAAGGGATCTGATAAAAATAGAGCAGAATGAAAATGTTGTTATACATTTACAGTAATGCTGTCAACCAGACTGGGGCCCACAGTGCGAGGTGCTGTACATACACAGAGAGAATTTCTGCCCAGAAGAGTGTAGAGCCTGAATAGAAAGGATAAAGGGAAGAAGAAAGGACGTATTATCCTTGCTTTACAGAGGGGGAACTGAGGCACAGTGAAGATAGATGCCAACGTCTGTGGCACAGCAAGGAAACGAAACCAGATCTCGAGCCACAGTCTTGTGTTGAGAAGATAGATGCCAACGTTTGTGGCACAGCAAGGAAATGAAACCAGATCTCGAGCCACAGTCTTGTGTTTTCACCACAAAGCCATCCTTCCTCTTCAGAGAAATGTTTCCAACCACAGCAGGGAACAGCCCATGTTTTAGGGCATGATTCTTTACATGGGTGGGGACCACCATCACCGCCTGTCTACAGAGCACATTTTGGAGGCTGTCACTTCTCTGTAAGCTCTGACAATTACTAGAACTACTGAACTACTAATCAAATGAACCACTCTGAGAGCTAACGAATGTACCCGTCTCCTGGGCATCCACGCACAGTTCCTTACTCCCATCCTAAGAAGGGATTTGGGGCACGCTCAGTTTTCAGACTCCAAGAACAGGCGAAAGGGAGGCACCGATCATTGAATCTGGCCACTTTCGTGCGACACTCGAGGACTGATGATGCAGCCTAAAGACCAGGCCTGGAGCGTGGATGGTATGTTGGCCTCCAACCCCACCACAGGGACAGCTGAAGAGACGATTCTCCAGCCTGGAAGAAGAGCCTTCTTGGGAGCACGCACAGCAAACAGGTCCAGGGATTGGGGAACCGGACCCCAAAGGGAAAGCTGGATGTGAAAGGCAAGCCTGTTGGACCCAGTACATTGGGGGAATTGTTCTCGCAAGCAATCGTTCCTCTTGCAGGGCTGCCAAGGACACTGTCTGCAGGGAATATTCACCATGCAAATCACCATGTGCATCTGGCTTTACATAAAGTTCTCTTTTTTTCCCCAGTCAGAAATCAATTCCCTTTTGTTCCTTCGTTTGGAAGTTCTTCAGTGACTCACTCTACCAGCTCAGGGCTGATGGGCGTTGGCTGTGTGGCCTTCTCTCTGTTGTGTAACTAGGCTTTGCATGAATTTTTTAAAGCTTTATACAAAAATTCACCTATTAGGGGCAAATGTCACTTGACCAAGAATTGTGCATTAGCCTCCACTAAAGAGAAAGGATGGCCGAGTAGTTAGGACTCCTACAAAACAGACAGCTTCAATTTCCTTACACTACCACAAACTTCCAAAGCGGCCTTGGTCAAGTCACTTAGCCTCTCTGTGGATCCGTTCCCAATCGGTATAATGGAGATAATACTTCTTCCCTACCTCAATCCGTTCCCGATCTGTACAATGGAGATAATACTTCTTCCCTACCTCCTAGCGGGACTATTAAAAGCCTATCATTCTATGAGTAGGCCCTGGTCTACACTAGAGCTTTACTTCAAAATAACCCCCTTTGACCAAATTAGAAAGTGGACTGTCCATGCTACCAAGACCGTTATTTCGAAATCTGTACTCCTGCTTTCCTTGGGAATAGCAGCAATTTCGAAATAGTTATTTCAAAATAGCAGTAGTGTGGTGCCGCTATTTCAAAATAATTACTCCCCAGAGTAATTCACACCAACTACTCCCCAGGATTTTCTAGGACTCTAAGTTGAGGTAGAACATCCACATTAACAATTTTCTAGGACTCTAAGTTGAGGTAGCGCATCCACATTAACGGAGCCTGCCTCGGACTAATTTCAAGGCTTCCCCGTAATGAGGGCACACTATTTGGATTTTGTTATTTCGGGAGTTATTAAATCGATTTTAGTTATTTTGAAATAGTTTCCTAGTGTAGAAACAGCCTAGGAGATCAACCGAGAGCTAGCGAACCAGAGCAGCAACCAGGGGAGACAACACGACTTCTGGTGTGAGTTTGAATGTTAGTTGTGTGCTTGCTTGCCACCTGCAATGATGTGTATTGCAATGAAGGCAGCACATACGATTAGCTGCCTTGCAGCAGGGGGCGTGTCTGCATTTGGTGCAAGCAACTCATGGCCCTCAGCAACCGAGTACAGGCTCGTGAGAGTGGCTGAACTGGAGGAGTTAATGGTGACGGGGGTATGTAGCAAGGACCTCCAGGAACACAGCAAAGTGGTCTCGGCCAGAGTCTGACAGCCTCCCTGCTGTGAAGAAGGATGAAAGCCTCAAAGGAGAACATCAAAGGTGTAGTCAACCTGTGGAACTCCTTGCCAGAGGAGGCTGTGAAGGCTAGGACTATAATAGAGTTTAAAGAGAAGCTAAATAATTTCATGGAGGTTAGGTCCATAAAAGGCTATTAGCCAGGGAATAAAATGGTGTCCTTGGCCTCTGTCTGTCAGAGGCTGGAGAGGGATGGCAGGAGACAAATCGCTTGATCATTGTCTTCGCTCCACCCTCTCTGGGGCACCTGGTGCTGGCCACTGTTGGCAGACAGAATACTGGGCTAGATGGACCTTTGGTCTGACCCAGTACGGCCGTTCTTATGTTCTTATCAAGCTGGAGCAGAGGGCAATGATCCCAGAGTAGCGGCCCTCCTTCCAGGTGATGTCATGGTAGCCTCTCTGACTCAGGATACCACCCCCCAGTTATTAGCAAGAGCCAGGTAATAGGAATAGAGGAGCTGATCATTAGAAATAAAGACAGTGGGGTAACCAGGAGAAATGCATGGTGTATTGCCGGTCAGGTACAAAGGTTGTAGACATCTTGAGCTATCCGGACAGACTTACGTGCAGTACTAATAGAAATTGAAGAGAAGCAAAGTCTCATTCAGTTAGAGCATTTGAGTTAGAAGGAGAGGCTGAGGGATTTGGGCTGACTTAGTCTACAGAAGAGAAGGGTGATTTGATAGCAGCCACCCTGAAGGGGGGGGTTCCAAAGAGGATGGAGAGAGACTGTTCTCAGTGGTGACAGATGGCAGAACGAGGAGCAATGGTCTCAAGTTGCAGTGGGGGAGGTCTAGGTTGGATATTAGGAAAAACTATTTCACTAGGAGGGTGGGGAAGCCCTGGGATGGATTCCCTAGGGAGGTGGTGGAATCTCGATCCCTAGAGGTTTTTAAGTCCCGGCTTGACAAAGTCACGACTGGGATGATTTAGTTGGGATTGGTCCTGCTTTTATCAAGGGGTTGGACTCAAAGTCTTCTTGGGATCTTCTCCAGCCCTATGATTCTTTGATTCTAGGATTATGTTGTAGACCAAGGGATTGGACTAAAAGTCTTCTTGGGGTCTCCTCCAGCCCTATGATTCTTTGATTCTAGGATTATGTTGTAGAGTGGACTCATTTGGGAAAAAGACCAAATACTCCTGCACCAAGCAACTGATGTTAACACAATGTACACTATGATGAAATGTTTTCAAGATCAGCTTCAATCTCTGGGCAAAGACACAACCTATGCAGGATATGATGAAGGAATCTGTGGCAAAGCACAGTTGATTAAACGGCGCGGTCACAACAAAGCTGACAAAGATCACCCTGAGATGGAAAGCATGCATCATGCAATGAATGTCACGGGTCATACAGGCACTGTGATGGAGGAAAGTGAATTTCAAGACATCCATGGGGGAGCCAACATTCACAATGCTTTAGTCATCAGCTGCAGCTTATAACCACAGCATTAAATTCCACAAACTCAAGAGTGAGGTAAGGAGCTGCTCAAAATGGATGTAACATTTCGAAATGGAGTCCTCATGAACAATTATGTTCTCCCAAAACATGAAAAGAGATGCATCTTGGAGAAACCTTGAACACACACTGCCGCATTTGAAGCTGTTGAGAAGCCACATCAAGAAACCAGAATGGAAGCAGACTTCATGAACCATGCCCAGTCATTCCACCAATTCATGGACACTTATGTCACCCAAGGAAAAGAACTGTTCAGATACATTTCAGTTCTGGAAAAATCAGACAGCAGGTCTCTCCCTTGTACTGATCGAATTCATAGCAGCAAAGACAATAACAACTCCAGGGAGACTATTGCACTTGATGTCCAGCAGAGTCATGTGAGTTGGACAAGACAGGCTAGCCAGATATGCATCACAGAATCCTTGTATACTAGAACTGGAAAGGACCTCGACTCGAGTCCCCTGCCCTCACAGCAGGACCACACACCATATCTAGATAGTCCCTGATCCAACCTGCTCTATCCAACCTGCTCTTAAATATCCAACCTGCTCTTAAATATCTCCAGTGATGTATCTAGATCGTCCCTGATAGATGTCTATCCAACCTGCTCTTAAATATCCAACCTGCTCTTAAATATCTCCAGTGATGGAGATTCCACAACTTCCCTAGGCAATTTGTTCTAGTGTTTAACCACCCTGATAGGTAGGAAGTTTTTCCTAAAGTCCAACCTAAACCTCCCTTGCTGCAATTTAAGCCCATTGCTTCTTCTCCTATCATAAGAGGCCAAGGAGAACAATTTTTCTCCCTCCTCCTTGTAACACCCTTTTAGATACTTGAAAACAAATTCTTCCCTCCTAGTCTGGCTTCGCTTTTCCAAACTAAACAAGCCCAATTCTTCCCTCCTAGGTCATGTTCTCTAGACCTTTCATCATTTTTGTTGCTCTTCTCTGGGCCTTCTCCAATTTCTCCACATCTTTCTTGAAATCTGGTGCCCAGAACTGGACACAATACTCCAACTGAGACCTAATCAGCGCAGAGTAGAGTGGAAGAATGACTTCTCGTGTCTTGCTCACAACACTCCTGTTCATGCATCCCAGAATCGTGTTTGCCTTTTTTGCAACCGTGTCACACCCTTGACTTATATTTAGCTTGTGATCCACTAGGACTCCTAGATCCCTTTCTGCCGTACTCCTTCCTAGACAGTCGCTTCCTATTCTGTGTGTGAGAAACTGATTGTTCCTTCCTATGTGGCCCTAGTTGATCGTCAAGAAGCAGTATACTGAGCTGCCAGACCCTTCGGTGGTGGATGGTCTGATAGAGCCATAGAGCAGTCTCTGAGCAAGGACAGTGGGAAGTGACAGCGCCTTTGTACAGAAGATAAGGCTCTGGCCACGGAATACCTGACGGCACGTTTTGAGGCAGTTGCATAACACAGCCTTCAGCAACAGAGCTCCACCAAGAAGCTGCCCCAAAGTGCGTGGCTGTGAACGAAACTGCTGTCGGAGAGATCAGAAAAGCTGTGACTGACAGAAGGACAATCCATGTGGCCCTGAGCCTGGAAGACAAGGGAGCCACTCGGAAACTCTGCAGCATCTTCTGCAGCCCCACCAGACACCGCACAAAGTGTGTGCACGAGGAGAACAGAACCAAAGCGACTTGCAAGCAATAGGTTGCAACGGGTGAGGCAGATTTCTCTGACCCCACCAAAAGACAGAATCTCAAATCATTTGGTCACCTCAATAGGAGAGCTAAAGCAGCAACAGACTGTCCAAGCAATTGCTATCGATTTTCTGACAGTCAGCAAGCTGAGTGTTCGGCCACACCGTCCCATCACTGTATGAATGCACCCGGTCATTTCTGGTGATCCCTCTAGGCCCTAAGAGAGGCCTGATGCTCCTTGTACCATCCCAGTTCTGTGGCTAAAAGAGCCCTGGATCCCTTCTGACCAGCTCTGCATGAATTTAACAGGAACCAGGGGTCTAGGCAGAGGTGACACATTCCTGCAGCTGGGGGAGGAGCGTGGGGGGACGCACCCAGCTCTGACAATTCAAATCGAGGGGGGCACATGACCTGTCTAGAGGAGCATGTGACTCCACATGTCCCCCTTCCCTCCCCACTCAAGACTTCTCTCCCCCCCAAATTGGAGTCTGCTGCAGTAAGTGCCAATTCTTCCAGCACCTTGCACCCACATGGAAACTGATGTCACTTGTGTCGTGGTTTGGTTTCATTTAGACTGCATCAACTTCAATCCAATCCGGGAGTGCACAAGGGGAAAAAAATCCTCCTGCTTAACCGCCCACCTCCAGATGATTTAAATGGAAATTAACCAGGCTTGAGGAGCAGCGTAAGGGGATGAAACCGGAGCTCTCGCTGCTGTTTCGTTGTCATTCCCCTGGGTCTGGAATGCGGTGATGTCATTTGCTCGCCCAGCTTCAGCACATCGCCCACTTAGGGCCAGTGCAGCTCACTTCTTCCTCCGCCGTCAGTCGGAGAAGCGGGAAGCAACGCGCCCAAGTCCCCGCCAGTGTTGAATTTGGCCCAACGCAGTGATATGGGAGACAGGCATCAGGAAGCCGAGAACATTTCTCTCCACTCCAGCTGCCTCGGGGAGATCGTGTTCATTTCTGGGCACAGAAGGGAGCCGTCACGAAGAAAGACGGGGGGCGGTGGAAGGACTGAGTTCCAAGGAAAGAGCTTTGTTTAATATGGCTGAATGGGGGTACGGCAGGGCCTCAGAACTGGATCACACTGCTTGGCAGGCCGGATCTGGCCCGCGGAAGCCCTCTTGCCCACCCCTCATTCAGGAGGAGTTCTTGTCCAGACACACAAACTCCTTCAAATATACAGGAGATTATTAAAGGCAGGGCACCTGATAACTGTCTAACAAAGGAACTTACTGAGGGTAAGGCTGTGTCCAGACTCCATGCCTCCGTCGACGGAGGCATGTAGATTAGCCAGCTCGGAAGAGGGAAATGAAGCCGCGATTAAAATAATCGCGGCTTCATTTAAATTTAAATGGCTGCCCCGCTCTGCCGATCAGCTGTTTGTCGGTAGATCGGGGCAGTCTGGATGCGATGCCCCGACAAATAAGCCTTTCTTGATCGGCACAGGTATGCCTCGTGAAACCCGCTGCATTATAATCAGTCTCTCTCTCTCTACTGACTAATATTTAGCACAAACCCGATTTACTGTATGATCTGGATTATGCAATTTGGGTGAAGGAAAACACCTCTATTGCTGATTGTTAGAACACTAAACTATGTCTCTCCCGATGTGGCTAATCTACATGCCTCCGTCGACGGAGGCATGGAGTCTGGACACAGCCTAACAGGATACATGACAAAGAGAGAACATTTGGGCTGGAGATCAGGAAAAATTTCCTAACAGCCCGGCAGTGTTCCCATGGGGAGCGACACAGAGCCGGTTACTTGAGACGTATAAAACGCAGGAAAATGTCCTTCCAGGAACAATCCAGCTTGGAAGGGAGACAGGCTGGCTGAGCTCATAGGACGTTTCCATCGTTAGCAGCTACGAATAACTTACCCTTTTTCCTGGCCTGAGCAATCACATCGGCGGCACTTTTGCTCATCACCTTGGTGATGTACAGGGGGCAGTTGGTTTGGTTGGCGATGGTGATTGCCCGATTCACGGCTTCCGCCTCCACCTACAAAATAAAGCCACCTGCACATTAGAACCCGCTTGGCTTGGCAGGGCCAGCTCTTCCCCCCCCCCCCGAGTTACACCTTTGTTTTCTTCCAAGCAGAGGGTGCGTGGGACTCAAAGGAAGGGGGAGGGCTTGGTGGCCTTAAATCATTTAGATTTCAGGCTGCTGCAGGGACTGGACTGGCTCTGGGCATAAACTGGGCAGACTTGAGAGCTGCTCTAATGTACAGCCTCTCTGCACACAGGCTGCTCTGCAGCATCTAAAATCCCCATAGATGGTCCAGACAATTGCTCCAGTTCTGCCCCCAGGTTCCTCCTGCCACACCCCCTCTGCTGGGGCTTTTCCTTCCCAGGCTGGATCCAGGGTTTACAGCTTTCATGCCACTCCCATTCTGTTTCCTGGTTTACAGGAGCTGGACCAGCTGTGACAATTTTACCGGCAGGATTTTTCCATGCAAGAACAGATCATACACCTAATAGTATCACCATCTTCTCTGTGTGTGCTCAGCACTGCGCTGAAATGCTTTCTGCCTCAAGCATTTTACTAACATTACACCTCTTATCAGAGGATAGCATGTTTCCCCATAAACAACCCACCAGTCATTAAGTGCTGCACACAGGAGAAAATCCCTTCCTGACCTCTGCAGACAATACACCCAGAAGCATGAGATTTGACTGCCAATCTCATGCATTACTACACATTGTGGGCAGTTTCTTTATTCAGTCACAGGCCTAGCAGTGAAATTGACCCTTGTGCAGAGGGCCAACACAATGAATGTGTTAAGCCCTAAAAAGTCATCCATAGTGTGCATGATCATTATGATGATGCAGTTTCCATAATACTCTCCAAAAAGTGAGTAATCAAATGTTAACTTAGCAAAGCCATCAGTGCCCTGTCCCACGTAGGGGGAAGATCACATTAGCCGTATATTTTAGGAAACCTCCTAAACTGTATCCTCCCACCACAATTTTTCGCCTGGGCTCTATTGCGATGTGCAAAGCTCCACAAAATTACAACAATGAACACCTTGTTGCACAAGGAAATAAGACCCCCTTACAAATTCTGCAGGAGCAATTTAGGTTGCAGCTATATCTGGCCCTAGAATTTATCCAGCCATAATAGGAGCCTTTCACAGATGTTTGAGTGTCCTCTTGGAGAATCTAATCAATCCACAGCAGAAATGTAGAGAGGCCTGCAAATCCGCAGCTATCCACTTAGTATCCGCCTCTGTGGAAGTGGATCATTTTTGTGGATATGGATGTGGATACAAATTTTGTATCCACGTAGGGCTCTAGAAATCTAAGCACAGTTCAATAATATTACCTAATATTTTATGGTCCTTCAGTTCTTGAATAGCCTAGGGTCAGATCCTTAACTGAACACTAAATTATTTAAAAAACAACAAATAGTCTAGTAGCACCTTAAAGACTAACAAAACATGTCGATGGTATCATGAGCTTTTGTGGGCAAAACCCATGAAAAGAAGTTGGTTTTGCCCACGAAAGCTCATCATACCACCTGCATGTTTTGTTAGTCTTTAAGGTGCTACTAGACTATTTGTTGTTTTTTAAGGTTTTCCTGTTACAGACTAACTCGGCTACCCCTCTGAAGCCTTTTTACTAAATTAATTAAATGCCCGACTCCTACATGGCGCTTTTCATCAGATCTCAGAGCGCTCGATAAAAAGAGGTGAGCAGCACGCGCCCCAAAATGCAGTGATGACAATGAAAGAACTCCCAGTCATTTATGGTTCAGGCGCAGGCCTGGAAAAAAACAAGGACTGCCAGGAAACAAGCAGCAACCCACCCGCTTACTCCCCACCCCAGGGGAGGGACAGGCCTTGATACAGTGGTGAGCCGGTGTGAGGAGACAAGTCTACAGCTGCCGGCCCTGTCGCCAGATGGTTACATCTTGCAGGAATTAGGCCTGTTAGATGCAGAGCCCCTTCCACTCAACGGAAACTTCAGCCCCTTTCAGGATGAGGCCCGTCAATAAACCTTTGTTGTCAGGGAGCTGAACGTGGCCATGGCGCCATTAACTGCATGGAATCAGCTCCCCTCAGGTGCGAACGTGGCTCCTCAGGACATGGGCAGTGGGACCCCTGCTCCAAGGAGGCAAACTCAATGCCCCCCCCCCTTCCTCCCAAGGTCCTGCCCCAAAGCTGCCCCTCCCCTTAAAAAGAAAAGCCCTGAGGGGTCCCCTGGACCAAAGGAGCCCTCCTCCGCCTGCCTCGGTGACTACAGACCGAGCCGCCTGCTGAGCCTCCACATCCCTGGCCCCGAGCAACAGGCCGACCCCAAACGCCTCTCTGAGCGCTGGGCCGGTCCCAGTGCCACCACACGCTGGCTGGCCCCGGTGCAGGGCCCAGTTGCAGCCTACCCGAGCGCCAGCTCCTTCCACCCAGGGTCTGTAAGCTCGCTGCATCACCCCTCGCTCCCCCAGCGCCTGGAGGAGGGACCTGGTGAGCAGTTGGGCCCTTCGGGGGGTGGGGAATGGAGAGGCGGTGGCATTAGGGTTCTCAGGGAAGCAGGGGCACTGCGGCCCATTGTCCAGTGGCAGCGATACCCGCCGCCCACGCCCGATGACTTGGGCTGCTTCTCATTTCAGACCGCAGCACGAGCGGCGCAGGGAACGATGAGTGAGCGTCTGCGCGTCTCCTTCAAGCCGCAGGAGGCAGATGTCACTGCCTCCCCCCCGTACAGGAATGGCCCATCCATCACATCAGAGAGTGGGATTCCTTAGGATGTACGTCGAAGGCCTCAGCTAATCCTCCAGGATGCTGGGCATCCTCTTTTCCCTTTGAAGTCCATGGGAGCGGAGGGTGCTCGGCGGCGTGAACCCAAGTGTCATGCAGTTCTCCTCCGATGCCCCCATCTGTTATTGTTTTCCTTATGCAACCAGAAAAATATGCAAAGGAATACAAGGATGGATGGGAAATCTGGATGCAGATGTTTGCACACAGCTTCCAGGAGCCAACAATGGGGGGGAAAGGAGAGGGCTTGTGTTCCACTCAGGCCGGGCAGCGTTCCTCTCAATCCACAACAGCGTTTGAAATGGAAAGATTTATGGCTGGCACTGAAATGTCTTTGGATGCTCCTTGATTGGAGGGAAAATAAATAAGGAAAAGGGACGGGGGGGGGGGGGAGAGCTGTGCAAATGATTTCACCCACATCTGGCACCCTCAGCAAAGCCCTGATGCTCTGGAAGATTAATCAGAATCTTCTTGTACAGAATGGACAGCCTGCACAAAGCCAGGCCTTCGTGGTGAAATGTCCAGCCCAGAGACACTGAAAGTTCAGAGGAGTACAAGACAGTAGGAACAGAATTTAGGACCAAAATTTGTGTTGTTACTTATGTAACAATTTTCAAAAGGACCCAAAGAGCTTTAGATATCGACTGCCCACTTAATTTCAGTGTGATGTGGGAACCTAATCCCAGAGAAATCAATGGGAGAGGAAGTATGATTCGAGGATTAGGACACCAGTTTCAGTCACAACTCCGCCACATATTTCCTGTATGACCTTGAGAAGGATGATTCGAGGATTGAAACTGGTGTCCTAGTCACAACTCCGCCACATATTTCCTGTATGACCTTGGTCAAGTCACTCTGTCTCTCTCTCTCTCTGCCTCAGTTTCCCCATGTGTAAAACAGGAGCCTTTCACACTTCCCTACCTCACAGGAATAAATACATTCAAGATCATGAGTTGATCATGAGTTTATATGGGGGCCATATAAAAACCTGAGACAGACAGAACTTTGATCCTATATATACAAACTCACACTTACTTTTAAAGAAGTTTTGCCCAAACAAGGACCAAGTAAACAACAAATACGAACCTGAGAGTATGGAGCACAGAGAACTGAATTGTAGTGACAATCCAATGCAAAGTCAAATCCAAAAGCCTTTTACTCGGGCAAATTTCCTGAGTTAATGGGAATCTGCTGACATCTGAACTGTGCAAGAACCCCAGGATTTTGACCCAAGTAAAATCAGAATACGGGTTTCAGGACCAAGACCATTATGAAAGAAAAGGAAAGTGCTGAATAGTTTCACCTTGCACACAGCAACCCGTGTCCCATCAGGGTTCTGAGTGTGGCCTGTGATACGTTTTGTTTACTGCTGCCCACGCACAGCGTTGCCACATTCCACTGGTTTCCATCTGCCTAGTTTTTTCCTCTCCCAGTATTACTAAAACAACCTACCTACAAAGCCACAGAACGTGAGGTGAAGGGTGCGCAGCTTGCACACAGAACTGACTGAGAGCCGTGCGCCCCTCTGCAGCCTATCCCAGCGCTGCTACGGTTCTATCGGCACATCCTGCAAATTCTAGGCATGCAAACGTAAGTAGCAAAACTGCTCTGTCCTGGGAGACCGTCTTGATTAAGACAATCTTGCAGCCCACGGAGATGAAGGAGGGCTACTTCTATAGCCCACAAAGTAGCCTCAGTTACCCATCTAGGCTCTCTATCAGCCCCAAGCTATGTGACCTCGGGTAAGGATCTCCAGCCAAAATATTCAAGCGTCCGTTAATTTGTGCCTCCCACTCTGGAACACGTGGTTTTCAAAGGGACTGAGCATCCACAACTCCCACTGGCTTGAGAGGTCGTCGTGGGCTCACAGTGCTTCTGCTAGCAAGGCCACGGCATTTCAGGTTGGCTATATCACCAGGGGGCCACCTGCTGTTGGTGGGCAGTTTTTGAAATGTGGAGCCTTTAACCTTTCTGCTTCCCATGTGCCAAGGACTAATGAGACTTATAAGGGTCTTCATTTCGAGATCTCAGGACATGCGGCACGTCAGAAATATCTCTGCCATAACAGCCACGGTAATTCCAATCAAAACTAATGGCATCACCATTATCTAGTGTGTATTGCACCCACAGAACAATCTCCTCTGTTCCCCTCCTCTCATCTCAGCAGCTCCAAGGCACACGATGGAAACCGTATTTATGGACACATTCACCAAGGCGTGAGGTTCTTACTGGCATTCTAGGACATGACCTAGAATAGGGGGGGAATTAAGTAAAAATGGACAACAGCCTCACCTCTTCAGGCCTACTCAGTACGTGCCCTTCAGGGCCCGTGATTCCCAGTTCCAGAATCCTTTGCTGCTCCTAAGGCAGAAAAAAACAGGAAGATGACATCAAACAATGTAGTAACTAATTCCAGCACCTGGAGATATTTGGAAGAGAAGTAAAACTGATATCCCTGTCATTATGCTCCCTGAAGGTCCCATAGTACCTCCATCAAGGCAGGATAATAGATCCAGTTTTCTGACTAACTTCCAGGGTTACCAGAGCTCTGCAAAGCCTTCCAATTCATCCGTAGTGTTGTCATGCCAACCCTTCTTTGAATTTCACTTCACAACCCCGCAAGTTTCACTTGGAGTTTGGTGTTTGAGAAAACAAAATAAACATCCCCCAAATTATCAAGCCTTGCATTGAAAACCTATCCAACTCCAAGCTGCTTCATCTAGGCATCAGGGCCAAATATATTAATTATTATTGTAATATTTCTATTGCAGTAGTACCCAAACCAAATCCAAGACCTATTGGGCTAGGCACTGTGCAAAACATAAGAAATGTTTCTTCACTTCCTGTATTACATTGCTATGTAATATTTATATACATAGTGGCCACCGTCCACCCCAGAGGTGGCTGCATTTCAGTGATGAGTGAGAAGATTTTTGTATACAGTTTGTAACTGCTGTTGAATAAAAGCAACTATATAAACCTGTGACACCATTGCTCTTTTACGGTGTGTTACAGGAGCTGTACGTTTGAAGTTTACCTCTGCTTCCTATAGGGAAGTGTCTAGGGTGGACAGGCAGTGCCTTGACACATTTTAGAGATTTCCTGCTGTGAGTTTTAAGCGAGGGATTGGGGGCTTCGAAAACCTGACAGCAAAATGCAGCTAAAATTCCAAAACAAAGAGATAAGCTACCTCAGCAATGATATCACCGTTCTCAGCATGAACTTGAGCTATGGCACCTATATCACGGATTACGCTTAGCACTTCGTAAATCTAGGAGAAAGAAGGGAAGCCATTTGTTAGATACCTTTGACTCTGACAAACACTCCAGTGTTCTTGCAGCATAAACTGTTATATAAAACCAAAACAAAAGGAAAAGCTCTCTCTAGCT